CCCCAGCACTCTTTCCTGCCTAGGCAGGGGGTCAGACTCGATGATCTATTGAGGTCCCTTCCGACCCTAACGTCTATGAATCTATGAAGAGAATGCTGAGAGGTGATCTTATGGCTGTCTATAAATTCATCAGCGGAAGGCAGCAGAGTATAGGAAATGCTCTATTTACTAGGGACACAAATTGATGGAGAGCAGATTTAGGTTGGACATTAGGAAGAACTTCTTCACAGTAAGGGTTGCCAGAATCTGGAATGGGCTTCCAAGGGAGATGGTGCTCTCCCCTATCTTGGGGGTCTTCAAGAGACTTCACTTAGCTGGGGTCGTCTGACCGCAGTGCTTTCCTGACCAGGGCAGGGGGTCGGACTTGATGACCTACTGTGGTCCCTTCCAACTCTAACATCTATGAATCTACGGGGGGAGCATTAGATACGCTGGAGGGTAGGGTTAGGGTTAGGGTTACCCTAGGATTCAGAGACCTCAACAAATTGGAGGACTGGACCAAAAGAAATCTCATGAGGTTGGAGGACAAGTGCAAAGTCCTTTACTTAGGACAGAACAATCCCATGCCCCAGTACAGGCCAGGCTGACTGGGTAGGCACCAGCTCTGCAGAAAAGGACCTGGAGGTTAGTGGACAATAAGCTGAATGTGAGCCAACAATGCGCCCTTGTCACCAAGAAAGCTAACAGGATACTGGGCTGCATTGGTAGGAATGTTGTCAGCAGATCAAGGGAAGTGATTATTTCTCTCTAATTCAGTGCTGGTAAGGCCACATCTGGAGTACTGTGTTCAGTTTTAGTTTCCCCACTACAAAAAGGAGGTTGACAAATTGGAGAGAGTCCTGCGGAGGGCAACAGAAATGGAGAGGGGGCTGGGGCACATGACTTCTGGGGAGAAGCTGAGGGAAGTGGGCTTATTTCGTCTGGAGAAGAAGACAGGGGGGATTTAATAGCAGCCTTCAACTCCCTGAAGGGTAGTTCAAAAGAGGATGGTGCTAGACTATTCTCAGAGGTGGCAGATGACAGAACAAGGAGCAATGGTCTCAAGTTACAGCAAGAGAAGGTTAGGCTGATATTAGGAAGAACTTCTCACTAGGAGGGTAGTCAAACAATGGAACAGGTTACCCAGAGAGGTTGTGGACTCTCCATCCTTGAAGATTTTAAGACCTGGCTAGACAAAGCCTTCGCTGGGATGATCTAGTTGGGGATGGACCTGCTTTGAGCAGGGGGGGGTGAACTAGGTGACAGCCTAAAGTCCCTTCCAACCCTAATTTTCTATTATTCTATGTTACCACAGCCAAAATTAGTTTGTTGCCATTTAATAGCACTGCAGATGTAGACTGTGATGCTTTACTCTCTTGCAAATTAATCTTGGAATTCAGCAAATTAATAAACTATTGCACAGTTAAGTGCATATGTAGATGCATCTGGTGTTCGTTAGTTTAAAGATACGGTAGAGGTGCCACAGCTCACTTCATCAAATACTAGCATATGACATCCAACAGCATCCTGTTACATAGCATCTGATTAAGTGAGTTGTGGTTCATAAAAGCTTATGCATCTCTGATCCTAATTAGAATGAGCAATTAGAATCTCTAATACAGTTGAGTTATTCCTCTGAACCTAAGTTAGGTCATCATATCTGACTGTGGTTCAGTATTTGCTATATAATGAAATGGTGGTCTCAGTCCTGTTACTGAGTGGACTGCCCCTCCATTGATGCCATCTCTGTAGATTAAAAACCTGACTAACTATGGAGACTAAACTCTCTTCTGCTTCTCTAAAGAGGGGCTGAGTTATTCATGGGGAATCATCAAGCACTGATCCCTATTCTACTCTGCCCAAAATAATCAAAGGATTTTAGTCTCTAGAGCTGTCAATCTGTCATTTTTCAGCAGCACTAAATTCATACATAATAAATACAGGTTTAAAAATAAAAGTGGTGGTATTTTTATGCAACTGACTTCATTACCCAAAGGAACCAAAATGAAGCAGCATTAACAATGAGAAAGAAACAGTAAAACCATCTATTAACAAGATGCTTTTTTTCTTCTGCTGTAGTCAAATCTTCCGTCTCTCCTGTGTAATTTTAAAAACAAAGATCAGATATTTACATTTAAAAAGCAGAAACAGTATTCAGAAAAATGTTCTAATGACCCCTGCTGGTGGCATGGGGGAAATTAATAGGCAACACAATAGGTTTGCCTTTCCAGGCTTTTGTCTTTTCATTTACTTCAAAACACTGTGGTAAGAGCAGTTCGTTTTATCAAATAAAAGATCAGTAATAATGTGCCATTAGCCATATCTCTCTTAGTCACTGTCAAATGATGCTTTTATGATTATCCCTTGTAAAGACACAAGTAGCATCACACCCATCTTTTCTCCTCTCAAAAATCTACCTATCATTTTACACGGTTAGCTTCCACACTGCTAGATAAATAACACTTATGAGCACTAAATATGGCAAAAGATGCACCAAATGAGCTAATGATCCCACTCAGAATTTTTAAAAAGAAAACAGCAACACAGTAAACAAAATGGTGCAATTGTTTCTCTCTCAGATGGACCCACAATTAAGAACTGCTTTCAGAGATTTGTCAAAGAAACCACAACAGGGAATGAAACAGATTTCTGAAACAGCGATAGAGGAAATGACAAAGACCTCAACAAAGAGACATAAAAACTGAAGAAGCAGAAGATTTATTTAACTTAAAACTGTAATTAAAAACCACTGTGTTTAGAAAAGTAAAAGTAAACTACTACAGAGTTTGGGAAGGTAGGATTACAAAGCATCTGAGGTTGCTTTCATTGTCTCTGCCTGACCTGGGGCAAATCTTTCAACTTTGTGGAGCCTCACTTCATCTTATCAATGAAATGGGTATAATTATATTTACTTAATTCCCAAAGATATTACTATGAGCCCTTATTTTATGAAAATATTGTATGACCCTAAGAGAAAAGATGCCAAAAAGACAAAGAATGTTATTTGTCAAAAATACAAGCAACCCCCCCAAAAACCCCAACCTAAAATATAAATACTTATTTCTCAAGAACAAACAACTTATTCCATCAGGAACAGTGTGCATATTCAAGGTACACAAAGTGTGCATATTCAAGCCCCCATCTTTTTTGCATAAGAGACTCTAATCCTACTGCAAGATCAAATTTCCATAGCAGTCTTAATCCTATTTGAGAGGGAAGTCACAACCTCTAGTTTGCTTTAGGACAACAGTTTTCAAAGTTAATAAAAATCTTTAGGAGGCAAAATGTAAGATGACTTATTGCCACCTTTATGACTCCTACCTATGGTTCATAACAAATTCAAGACTACCTGCACTCCATCAATAAATTCAGAGTCCAACTTTAGCCTTAATTTTCAATAGCTCTAGAGAAGAGAGTGCTAAAAAAAATTAACGTTTCTCGATGACAGAGTACAGGCCAGTGGTTCTTCCAACTCAGCCTATGCAACTAGATCACTTTCATTTATAGCTGATCTATGCGAAGACAGAAAATGCTGCAGAGGCCATTCGTCTAGCAACTCCAACTCATTCTAAAAGTCAATTACTTTTCAGGTGTCTCAGAGTTCAGAGACCAGGAGATAAATGAAGACCCAAAATACCTTTTCTTGCAAAGTTAATTAAAGCTCATGGTTTTCAGAAATTGGACTTTTTCTGATTTAGAAATAGGACTATAAGACAAATATAAGTTGCCCCATCAGCTTTAAAAATAGACTATCATTTAATTATTAAGGATGTCAGCCTGGAATAGCTATGACAAGAGTCTTTTTAATTTACTAGAAAAGAAACTTAAGGAGTTCATACCAAAATAGAAGGTAACATTTTGTCCCCAGTCACAAGGACCCTATTCCCAACAGTGCAGAGAATCCACTAGTACAGCACGTTAGAGAAGCTATAGGGAACAACACTTCTGAAAACCATGCCTAATGCATCAGAAAAGGTGTTACTCAAACTGCAGCCCCAATCAACTGGCCATGGAAACCATCTTGTTTGAAAGCCAGAAGGAACATTTTAGAGCATGGTTTTTCAACCTTCTTGGGTGAGTGTAACTCCGGCGGCTGGATGCAGAGCAGTGTACACCCGCTGGCCAGACATGGAGTGGGGTAGAGCATACGCACCCCTGGATGACAACCCCTTTTTTAGAGAAGCAGGATGATGTAGATAGAATATAGTGCAACAAGGCAGCACCCCCAAAATGACTCTGCCCTTACAAAATGGTTCACGGAATGACTTGGAAAACTAGTGCAGCATTTTACAGCAATTGTGATTTTATATCATTTTCTCTCACCTTCCTTTTTCAGCCATTTTACAATGTTTCCTTCTTCCATTGTAGGAGACAGTGCAGGCATGAAAATTTTAACAGCAGAAGTACCTGAAAAACAAAACATGGGTAAAGTAAAACATCTATTTTTCACACCAATGCTATTGGTGTGATAAATGCTGTTTATATCCAATAATCTAGGCCAGGGGTTTTCAACCTTGTTTAATAAGTGTACCCCCAGTGACCAGACATGGACCGGGGGGGCAGGGGAGGCGTGGTACGCAGTTGGATAAAAAGCGGTGACAGTGCAGGGTGGTGTGCGGTGGTGTGCAAGCTTCCCCTCCCCCCCCGGTCCGGCCAGCCAGGCAGCACCTGTGCAGCCCACAGAAGGACGCTGCCGCTGCACCCCTCCCCTCCTGGCCCTGCTCCTGGGAGGCGGCAGTGTGCAGGGTCGTGGGTGGAGGTACTCCGTCCCTGCCTGCCCACGCATATCCCCTAGGGCCTTCCCAAGACAACCCTCTAATGTAAGCCAAATACATTCTCAACCTAGCAACAAACCAGGTGGATACATTGTGCAAATCTCAAAGACAGCTGCACAGACAATTTAGTAAGTGGATACCTTTTATACATTACTCGTATACACCTACACACAAGTGTCAACATGCACTGTAGGTAAAAATCTAAAGAACACAGGATTTAATTAAGAGAGTCCATTCTACTGATTTTGTTACGAAGACAAGGGAACCTATACAGATCTTTATATTTGTTTAAAAAATACGTAGAATATCAGGCAAATTGAACTCAGTGTCTGTTAAGGAAAAATATGTAATAAACTCATGGCAGCAGCATTGAAAATCTTCAGATAGTCATACTGCCTCAGCTTTGGTTCAATTAGTTTTAGAAGTGACCTTCAACTAGAATCTGGTCTAGCTATATTAAAAAATAAACACAACACTGACATCATTTTAAGCTCCCTTCAACTCAGTTTGAGGTATAATATAGCACTTTTCAGATGAAACACGAGCAAAATGAAATTTCTCATAGGCTTTCCCCAATCTAGCTCTGAAGAGGGAAAAAAAACAACAACAAAAAAAATCAATAATTTGTTTGGGAATCAAGCTGTCAGGACAGCTACAGTGCAACGGAAGGGAAAAATGCTACCACAACTAATAAATAAGCATTAGACAAGAAAGGCAGATTTTATAACATCATATCCAACCATTTAATAGCAAGCTCAGGAATTTAAAAAATAAACAAACTAACAAACTTCTAGGGGCCCTAAAAGTCCAATTCAAAATCTGATGCCATAATCAACAGATCATCTTGTGTGAACTTGCATGCCATTAAGTTACACCCAAGACCAAGTTATAATCTTACACCAAATAAAGGTAAACTAAAGCTTTTCAGTTGTCGGGACTGAACAGAAGAGTCCAAGACTGTGTCAAATGGCAAAATAATATGAGATATGGAAGACATGCCCAGATGATCTCTCCAGTGAACCAGGTGTAGAAAAAAAGATCAACACTCTGAGATCCCTGCCAATGTGAGCTGTGAAGAAAGTTTCTTCCTAGTTCCCCATCTAGTGATCACCACAATGCTGAGTACAAGTAAAACCCACCAGGCAGATATCTAGGACACCCTGTACCATCTGAGTGCACTGGCCCCATCTCACAGAGTGTCCCCATGCAAGGTCAAATACACAGGATATACGTGCCCAATTGTGCATGGGGATGGAAATGAATTCCTACCTGACCACTCCAAGTGACTAGGAGAAACCCTGATGCATGAGATTTGATTATGGTCATTGCCTTAATGCAGAGCTGGAAATACTGTAAGTATGTGGAGGACAACTGAGGCAATTTTTTGCCCTCCCAAAACTCATGAAGAAAGGAGATAAAGGGGCTCAGGCTCTCAAATTCCAAGGCCAAAAAAAGACCACAACCATCAAGACTGATCCTTCCACGTATACAATGCACAGGAGCTGCAGAACTTTTCCCCAGAGATGGATTAACGGAGGGGTAGGTGATTATTTGATGTTTCAGTGAGCTGTTGCAGGCTGGGAGGTGGAGGGAGAGGAGGTGATATGGCATGGTACAGTGTGGGGTTGGGGAAGGACACACAATTAGTCCCACCCAGCCCTGGCCCATCCACTCCGCACCCACTTCCAGGGCGCTAGACAAAGCAGGCGGGTGGAGTCTCCATGGAGACTGGACTGGGACCCTTGTGGACAGGGCATGCTCAGCAGGACAGATGGCTCAGCCGGACAGAGCCGTGATCCACTCCCAGCATGCAATGGGTGCAGATTCCACAAGCAAGGCACACCCAGGGAGTAGATCGCTGCTCTCCCCCAGGCCCTGGCCCCAGCCCCAGCCTCATCAGCCCCAGGGTGCTACTCCCTGCCCACCTGTGGCCTCATCCCATCCACCCGGCCAAGTACACCCTGCCTGCAGGAGTCCTGGGCTAGTCTCCCTGGAGACCCCACCCACCTGCCCACTCCATCCAGCACTTCTAGCAATGGTTGCATGGCAGATGGGCTGGGTCCACCAGTGGCGACACTGGCAGCAGCAGCTAAAAGGAGCTACTGCCATGGGTGCTGTTGGGAAGCTAAGTCTAGCCACCACACTGCCCCTGTCCTGCCATGCACCCAGGGGTTGGCAGGACTGGCCACATGCACCCTGGCCCAAGCTGCACCCTGCGCCTGGCCCAGGTGGGGCCAAGGGACCTGCCACGGGCCAGATAAAGTCCTTTGGCAGGCTGGATCTAGCCTGCAGGCCATATTTTGCCCATCCCTGGATTAAAGCATTTATTTAAAAAAAAAAATATCTAGTATTGTTTTAAAGACTGAAAGGAGGCAAATACACCAACTCCCTTGATAAGCTGCTCCAATGTTTAATTCCTCCCTCTGCTAGGAAACTGAACAGATTAGTAAGAGCTATCCATGCTGACAATGCTATCTTCACTTTAAAACGGGAGGATAGATATCTGGCTGGGGTATTATGATCCCAGCACTCGTTCCTGCCCAGGGCAGGGGGTCGGACTTAATGATCTGTTCAGGTCCCTTCCAACCCTAGAAACTATGAAACATTATTGCCCTATGGGTTAATATGGTTAAGATCCCCAAAAAAGGAAAGAGAAGGGAACAGAATTAAAGAATGCATGAAGAAATGATCCAAGGGAGTATAAAATATAATAAATCTACCCTCCTTCTGAATTTTTTTAGCATTTATAACTTATAGAAGTCTAAAATAGTCCATTTTAGTGTCATACGGTCATAGAAGAGGAAATTACTACTCTGGAAAAAAAATAGGCATTCTGCCATGAATATTTAATATCTTAGGTATAGCTTTTCAACCTCTCTGTATAGTATGGGTTTTTTTGCTGCAATGTTTCCAATTTATATTAAAGATTTAGCAAGCCTGGAAGCTACAATGATCTTGTCATTTTTAACGTGCAGAGCATAGAAAAGAGGGTTTATTTATTCCCCAAGGTCTTTACAGATCTACACCCTAGGGGTCATGCTCCCTTCCCCAAACAAACTGGAGAAGCAAGTGGAATTTATACATGGTTCATTTCCCAAAAGGTTTATAGCGCAGAAATGTAGATCCATTTGCTCTGTCCTTCTACTGCCAAGTTCATTATCTCCTGCTCCAAACCAGTTACAAAAACTGACCTCTCCTTGCTGGAACACTTAGATAATTGTAGGTTTATTGTTCATTATTTTCACAACTGAAAACCGTGTTCACGGAATATTACTGATCAAGTTGTTGTGCGTGTTGGTTTTAGCTGCATAGACCGGAAAAAAAGAATCTTTGTTTTTTCTGATCAAGATCCCTAATGCATGGGGAAAAAATTATCCTGGAAATATCTATAGCAGTTTGCAAAGGATTTGTGAAAAAAAGTTTTCAGAACATGGATTCATAACTTTCCTTGTGCAAGTCTTTTTTTTTTTGTTATATGCTTGAGACACCTATAATTAGAGATGCATTTGAAATACGTTACGATATGTAGAACTGGCTCCAGTTCTAACAGCTGGTTCTGAAACAGCAGTCAAACGATTAAGTCAAATTCAGAATAGGAATACAGCATTGTAATGAAATTAATGCAAGTGAAAATCTGTCATGTCATTAATCTTAACTGGTGAAGGAAAGAAGAAAGTTCATTTTGAAAAGGGAAAGAAGGTGCTAAATTAGAATGTGCCTGGGCAGAAGAGCTCAAGGTATTCAGGGTGGGAATTCTTTCCTCACTATCAAATTAAGATGATCAGAGTCATAAGGATTCACATAGTTAAGATCCCAGAAAAAGAAAGGTTGCGATTAAGATGTGAATATACAGTTTAAAGGTTCTCTGAAAAGCAGAGATCTGTAGCTTTCCAATGATAGATAGCAGTCACTTCTACACATGGTGACTCACAAATACCAGATATTAGAATTATCTTCTCCAATGGATCAGAAATTCCAGCACACACAGGCACAATTCCAAGGTTTAACAGTAAATCCTAGACACACTTCTCCCTTGCGGAATATTAGTAATTCCCATTGATTTGACATACTCTGCCAGTTGCTAGGCCAGTGCTTCCCGAACTTTTCCTTAGCATGACCCAATTTCCTCAGCATGACCCCATTTCCTCAGTATGAACCCCTCACTCCCAACCCACAGCTCCCCACACCCATGACTTCATCTGCTGATGTTGCGATCCCATTTGGGCTCGTGACCCATAGTTTGAGGACTGCTGCGCTAGGCTGAAAGAAGAAAGGATCCAGGCAGTGCAGCACAGATCAAGGAAGACAAAATGCAGTGGGTGGTGAACTGAAGTAAAGGGAGGATTCCCAAAGCTCATTTAACTGGTCCCTAGATTCCAAAATGTTAAGGATAAATGATTAAATAAATATAAGCAGACCATCTAGCTATATAAATAGACACACACTTCATTTCCAGTACCTTAACATTAACATCATGAAAGTCAGTTAAAGGGATGCTGCCAACTTAAATCACATTCGTTTGATATGATGCACCAAGTGCATGCAAATATATATGTTAGTGGGATGGATGCAGTGGTCCCTAGATGAAGTGTTAGGACCACATTACACAAGAGATTTTCTATGGTTCTATGA